CCCCGGTCGGTCGGCCTCCCCCGTCCCGCTCGAGTGGCGCCTAGGCCCCGGGGCCCGCCTCTTTGTTCCGGGCCGACCCACCGGTCCCTTCCCAGGAAAGGCAGTGTCCCGAGTGCTGCCTGCCCTCGGCCACCCTGCCTATTGCAGCAGGCGTGCCTTCGGTTGTAAGCGAAACCGTAAAGTGCCTCCTGTGTGAGCCGCCTGCTGCGCAGCGTCCTCGGGGATAGCTGCCGCCTTCCTCGGTGTCCTTCGGTCCCCCCCCTTGTTTTGGCTCCGTATGCCAAAAGTCTCAGTGAAGGAGGTGGCGGGATTTATTTTCCCGTGAGGAGATGACTGCATCTCACTGCTGCTTTATTTCTGGAGTAGGAAACTAGCCATGTGCACATGTACGCTTGGAGGATTTGGTAATGTAGCTGATCTGCCCTGGTCTACGGACAAAGTCCCTCTGATTTAGACACAGCTATCGTGGGCAAGACTGGGCTTTTGCTGATGTATTATTATAGTTCACCTAAGCTTTCTCCAGATGAAATAATCCATGTTGGTGTAAGGGGTTGAAACCAGCGATTTGAGAACAAGGCAGTTGGTCTGTCCACAGTTGGGAATCGGGGCTCATTCTCCACATCATTCAGTTTCTTGTTTCTGCTGCCATGCCATAGAAGCTGTCTCTTATGCTTGCCTTTTGTATTTTTTCAGGTGCACAGATAAAGCAGCTGGTAAAGGTAAGAGCTGAATTACTCATTCCTACTGTTGTATTGCATCCAGAAAGTCAGGGCTTTCCCACGAAGGTAGCCAAACATCTGTTGGATCTTTCTTTTAAAGAATGTTTTGTTGCTTGATGGCATGCAGTTTCTTTCCAAGGACTCTCTCAAGATTGTGGAACTGCGATAAGCTCCTGCTGATGTGCACACGTGCCCAATGTGCAAAAACTTATTCTTCCAAATAACCGCTAGCGTATTACTTTGCTATCAGAAGTTGAGACCACACTGCACTGCAGTTTGACAGCTCTTGTTACACAGTGATCCTGAGTATCTGGCAAAACCTGGGCTCGTATCTGTTCTGCTGCTGTCACAAATACAGGCGTAGGTCCTCAAAAGATGTAAAAGATATGTGGAAATAAGAGTATTCAAATATTTACACTTGTCCTTTTCTAGCTTCAGTGGATGGTGAATTTTTTTATGCTTTCATCCCTCTTCAGGGATGAAAGAGAAAAGTTTTGAAGGGGAGAGGGTAGCTTAATGGGTCTAATCAAGAAAGCCCCAACTGTGGGGAGCTGCGACCAGGAGCAGAACTTTTGTTGTTCCAGTGCAAACTATGTGAACTCTGTGCATCTATTTAACAGCTTCTTGTACCAAAAAAAAAAAAAAAAAAGTTAGAGGGCTTTGCTCCTTATCCAGTGATGACTTCTGAAACAGTTCCAAGTAAAAGGCTTTGTGTAGTGATGGTTTTGATCTGGCACTAGAGAATTGTCACAGAATGAAATAGTGAGGAAAGAAGGTCATACACCTGTGCAAATGAATTCACCTTTCTGCTGGAGCTGTTCAGTTCTTGTTTGCAGGCATTTGTGTCTTGAAGGCTGCCTTTATTCTTGTAATTCTATAACTCTTCAACTTTATTCCTACGAGTCTATAGCTTTATTCCATTTGGGTGTTGAAATCTGTTGCAGTTCTAGCTGGCAAGGTGTATTTTTGCAGACCAAAGCAGAATTAACTGATGTGTGTTTAGCACAGACCCCACTTGTGTGCATTTACCTCTTACTGCGTAAAGGGTAAAGAGTGTTGTAAGAGCTTCGGCCTTTTAGGTCAAAGCGAAGTTGCTGAAATGTGTAAAAAGGCATGGTATTGTCACTTAGTACGCATATAGTGTTAACATCGCATTTTAATGGTGATTCTCAGTGTTTTGGATACCCTTAAGCAGAAATGTTTACGTGGTAGAAAACAGGTAGAATAGTCCTGTTTTTACCCCAGTTTCTTGTAATGTGCTTGGAAATGGCAAATGTCAGTCTGAAATTTCCCAAGTTTGGTGGCTCTCTGCACTCTTACTGTTTTAGACTTTAACTTTGGGCTCTGAGAGATTCAGCTGTCCTTGAATGTGAGAGTGGAAAAAGTATTTATTAAATTTCTTGGGCTCTTTTTTATGATTAGACTTGCAGCCAAAATGGATGGCATGAACTTTTGCATGGAAATTGGCACTGAGAAGTGATGACTACTTCTAGTCCAAAAGAAATCTGCCTTCGTGATTTTTTTGTTTGTTTGTGTCTTGTTTGTTTTTTAGTCTTTAAAAATGCAGAAGTGAGAAGGCTGCACTTCTGTATCCCAGCTGTGCACTGGATGAAGTCCTTGCTGCATGCTTGTGCTTATTGGGGAAGACATGGAAACAGACTGAATAAAGTATCTTCCTCAGACAGATCATACAGTATGCAGGAGAGAAGCTTCCCTCCTGCTCCCCCCTTTTTGGCCTTTAGCATAAAATGTTCGAAGAAGTCTAATCAGGTGTAAGCAAACTGCAGCTTTCCTTGCACGGCAGGGTTTTTGGTAGCTAGGAGTCCTCTGTAATTCTGGAAGGTAAAATACCATTCGTCATTTCACCCCTGGGTGGAGCTGGGTTGAGGAAGAAATCCAGTAAAACTGCTGAGTGGTTCTGGTGAAGGCTTTGAATTTAGTGCTAGCGTTTACTGGCGTGAGTTCTGACATGGAATTTGATTCTGCATGGTGATTTGCATTATACTGTTATCCTTTACTATAAAATACTAAAACCAGTTCAGAATACGAAATTCGCATGAGCTCAGCCATAACTGTTAGCCTCTGTATACAGGGCAAATGGCCTGTGGAAATGAGGTGTACCTGGTGACACATCCTGTGTATCTATTGGACAAATGAAAAACTTGCTGCACCAAAGTTTGTTCAGTAAGTTTTGTTGCCTTATGTTTGGGATTATATTTTGAAGTAAAATCACCAGTGTTGCTGTTGGTAAAGAAAGCTTAGAGGTGATGGGTGCGATCACGGCTAAATTTGTGCTATCGATTATAACCAAGATGCTGTAACAGTGGAAGTGTCTCGCCAAGTTTTACGTTCTTCTGTATAGTGCTGTGGGATCAGAGGGCTTTTCTGCTCATCGACTTGGGAGCGCAGGCACAAAGGTCTGACTGTGCAGGTCTGATGGGAAGATTACGGGAAGGTTAAAGTCGAAGGCGTGTATTGTGTCAGAACTAGCATGCAATTGTTACCATGCTAGTGTGCACGAAGGCAGTTGCAAAGTCAGCCGTACCGATTGTATTTCCTGGCTTGTCTGCTTAGTCATGCAATTGCAATATTTCCCTAATGTGTTTCTGTAGAAATATTAGTTACATAAGTAGAACATTTAATCTCAGCTTATAAATGAATTCATGTAGCTAGAGTTGGACTGTGTAGTATAATTCACATTTGACTTCCCACGACGCTGTATATTCTTGGGGAAATAATTTTAATTTTAGTTAGGCCTGAATAATTTTAATTATTGGAATATAGATTTAATGAATGCACTTCATGTCCTTCCATCACTGAATTGAAAATTCAGTGCTTACTGTGACTCTTAAAGTCATGTTAGCAGTTAAACAAAACCTGCTTCTCCGATTTAATTTTACACCCAAACTAGTTTCTGACTCCATCCACCTTTTTGTAAGATTTTACCTCTGCTGTTTAGTAACCACTTTTAAGAGTTTGAATGAAATCTTTCAGTCAATTACAGTTGAAAAAACGGGCTGTGTAGCTGTTCTGGAGGGAGTGTTGGAGTAGTGGCTGAATATAAAGATGCCAGGTTTGTGCTTAGTGGTAGAGCCCCTGCCTTACTGTGTTCCCAAAACATATGTGCTTTGTCTTTGAGGTTTTAGAGCTGCAGTTGCAAGAAGATTACTTCTCCCTCAGTAAGAAGAAGGAGGGTGGGGTTGGAAGCATTTGTACAAACGTAATATGCCATGAATGAACACTCAGATTACTGAATCTCCGTGTCTAATGTTGCTCTGCTTGTGTCACGCAGCTGAAATGTACTCGATGTGGACCCTTGTTTATGCAAGTTATTTGTCTTGCAACTTTACATTGGCATTGGCGCTTTTTTGCAATGATAAGAATGAGATCCAATGTAATTCTTTAAATGCACATAGGTACACAGCTGTATAGTAGTGCTGTTAAAAGGTGGAAAGCAGAGTTTGTTGGAGAGGTAAAACAGGGCCACATGAAGCCTTTATTTACTTAAAACTGTGATCAAAAGAGATGTAGTGCTATGTGCATGGAGTGTCACCTCCTTGCAAGTCTGTTCTCAAATCAAATGGGTTTTGCACATCGTGGGCTAGAGGATGATGCCAGCAGTATTTACATATTTCTTCAGCGCATGGTTATAGAAACTGTGCGTTAGAAAGGGAGTCATGTGTGGAATACTTCTGTTAGTTGTCCGCATGTGTGAGTATCTATCTTGGTGATGTCTTCCATGATATATTTTTTTTGTTCCCAGTCTTTCCATATGAGGCTACTGTAATGCACTTTGTGGGTGGCTGGTACTGCAGCCATTCTCCCACCACAGTGGCTTTCGAGCTGCGATTTGAAGGCTCGGGGGAGAGGGGAGGTCAGAGAGCTGTTTCTTCAAGGACTGTGAAAGGAAATGAGTGGGAAATACAAGCTTGCTCCGTAGCAGTCCACTTTTAACTGCTAGAAAAACTATAAGGTGGTACAGATTAAAAAAACATAGAAAACTTTAAGACTCTAGTTGTACAAAATGGTTTTGTAGCATAGATAACTCACATTATACCTCATTATTTGTATTTTTAAAGCTTCATGCTTCTTTGGTAATGACTGCTTTCCTTTAAGACTTTGTCAGTGTTTTGAGAGAGAAATGTCATTACTTAAACCTTATAAAAATGTGCTGAATTTAAACAACTCGGATTGCCCAAACCTACTTTGACTCCTATGAGGGTTTTCCTGAGTCCCATATGCACAATTTCACAGCTCTTTGCGGGGGGGGGAGCCATTTGGATAGAGATTTATACTAGGATTTTTTTCCCCGAGTTTCATTTTTGTCGGTGCCGTTATGAAATTGTATGTTCAGTGCCTTAGCTGTTGTATGGTTACTATGTTAAATATAAGTTGCAGTCTGAGATGTATATATGTTGTGGTGCATTTATTTTCATAATAGTTGTTTTGTAACTTAATAATTCATAGTTTATTTTCCTTTCACTTAATTGTACATGGGTATTTTCTGAAAGTGTCTACTTTGCAGGGTTAGTAAGATGCTTCCAAATGCTTTATAAATCAAAGTTTAGAAAATTTCTTGTTAGTAATCAACAAACTGTTAATTTGTAACAGTTGAAAGTTTCATTTTTCTATACATCAAGGATAGATAAAGTGGCATGGGTATTTGTTACTGTTGTGATGTCAAAAAAAGAGGAAACTATTATTGCAACAAGCTTACCTCTGAGCTGCAGGCTGAAAGGGGGTTGGTATATAAAAGCTTGAACGTAAAAACACTTGAACAAGTGTGGCTGGTAAAAGTAGATGTGGAGTACCAAACAACTCCCAGTTCTGAGAGTTATTGAGTGGATTTTCGAGCTGCCAGGAACATTAGCAGGACTGGTGTATAGCAATGCACCACCAGTTGTAAAACGCTGGTTTATGCCAAGTCTATAAGTTGTGCTGTAAGCAGCAGAAGCAAGAAGCTCTGCTTCCAGAGGGTTTCCATCCTTCGTCCCCAGTGA